CCATTTTTGGTGGGGGGGGTTTTTTTTTTTGGGGGGGGGGGTTTTTTTTTTTTTTAAAAAAAAAAAAAAAAAAAAATTCAAAAATAATAATGACCGAACCGCGCCCAAACTGCGGAATATATGTATTTTTTTTTCTGGGGTAACAACATCAGATCATTCAGGGGAAAATCTTATTTCAAAGTTGGATTTCGTTTTTCTTCTTCGGTTCTCTTGGCGCCAAATAAAGTTTTTCTTGGCTTTCGAAATCGATCGATTTAAATAAGAAATTCAATTGATTGATTGATTGATCAATCGATCGATCGATCGAATGGGATTATAAAATGTAAAAATATTTTTCATATCTGATATGACTTTTGAATGTTTTCTTTTTTTCCCCCCTACATTTATCTGATAAACTGGATCACAGAAAAAAAACATATAATATATCTTTTCAGATGAAATGAAATCACGAATAGATCATCATCATTATCATTATCATCATGATAATGATGGCTAATGTATAATGACCAATCTTTTTTTTCCAATTGATATGATCTCTATGTTAATGTTTTTGTTCTATTTTTTTTGTTTGGTTTCATCATCGTTACATTATCCATTTTTGATTATCTGATTCAACAATCATATTGTACAGATGTTTTTGGGTTCCATTATGGTTATGGTGATGATGGTCAGACCCAAAAACCAAAAATCAAATTAAACATAATGATTAGTTAGTGGTGGTGGTGATAATCATTATCAATAAGTAAACAACAGACATCTGTGTGTTTGCAAATGAATGAAACAAACAAACAAACAGACAGCAAAACAAAATCTATTTTGGAAAATAGTTTTTTTGTTGATAAAATTAACCAACCACCAAGACCATTTGATGACATTTTCATTTTGTTTTTGGCTTTTTGGTGATCATTCAACATTCAAACTAAAACAAAACCAAAACAAAATGAAAAAAAAATCATTAAACTTTATAGTGGGAATCCTATCATCAGCCACTATGTTTTTTTTAATTTGAAAAAAAACAACCAAAACAAAACAAAGATAATTACCAGGTTTTTCTAATGGATCCACACAAGCAAAACATGTTTTTTTTGTCAACACAATTGAATATTGTGTGTGTGTGAATCCAAATCTATTTCATTTCATCATTTCATCAATGATGATGATTCTTTTGAAATTTAAATTCAGTGTGTTTCCAGTGGTAACCACACTGAATAAAAGACAGACAGAGAGAGAGAATGTGAGAGAAAAGAGATTCAGGTTCTGGTTCATTTCACCAACAGTGGTCTTTTTAAATAATAAGAAAGGGAAGAGGGAGAGTTTTTTAAATCATCAGCAACCAGGTAACTTTGCCAATCCTCATCATCATTATTGGCCAGGTGGATGATGATGATGATATTCTCATTCGGATGAATGATTCTAAATGGGGAGAAGAAAAAAGAATTTTTTTTATAAAAATCGAGACTCAATTCAAGGCGTAACATCACATCATCAGCATTCAAACATTCACCAAACACGCGTATTGTGTCAATGAACTTTTGGGCATTTTCAATGTTTTTTTTCTGTTGAAAAAATTAATTAGATTTTTTTTTATTACCTGAAAAAGAAATCTCAATTAGTCACCTGAATATATAAGATTCGATCGATGATGATCATAACTTAATCCAGACACCTACTAACCTAAGAACGAAAAAAAAATTTATCAAATGTCGTCATCATGTTTTTGAAAACAAACAAGCCAAAACAGCAAACATGGAAGAAAAATATTTTTTCTTCAAAATTGACTTGAGATTTGCACTTGCACTTGTCTAATCTTGTATCGTTCGTTTTCACTGTGTTTGTTTGTTTGATGATCATATCGATGGCCATGATATGATCATGGTCAAAACACATTCCTGAAACATTTCACCATATGGAACTAATTTTTCAGTCTCTCTTCAGTCTTGTCTTGTATCATCATCATCATTTGGTCATCGTTATTATCTTCTTTTTTTTCCATTTGAGGGTCATAAATTTTTGTCATTTTTTTTGACTGGCTGGGTAGCTGGATGACACAAATGATTTTTTTTTGGACTTTGTTGATAGTCAAGACATTTTTTTTTTTTTTTGGATAAGTAAACAATCTTTGAGGGGGAAACGAAAAACAAAAAAATAGCCGGCAAAAACATAAATCTTGAATTTCACGGAAAAAAATTTTCGATACAATTTTTTCTCATCATCAAACGAATCGATTTTTTTCACTTTTCCAAACCACCCACCCACACACAATTCATGGATATTAAATTTTCTTTTCTTTTAAAGAAAATCTTCAATCAAATTGTCATCATCATCATCTTACATCAACCAGAAATAAAGAGAGGGGGGAAACCGAACAAAACAAAACAAGAAAAAAACAATCAACATTTTCAATATATGACATGTTCGTTTTGGTTTGGTTGGTGTTTTTTTTTCTTGTATTTTGGATGTTTGGATATGGATGACATGATGATGATGTTATCATCCATTATTATTCATCATTTTGGACAACAAAAACAACAACAACAACAGAAAAAAAATGTTTATCCAAAAAAAATCTACTACCAGAAATCGGAGGAACAACCGATCAAAGATGGAAGACAACAAAACAAAAATCTGGCAAATTTTCTTTAAAAAGCAAAAAAAAATTTCAATTTTTAAAGTTTTTTTTTCAACAAAAAAAAAACTTTCTTTTAAAATCTAAATTTAGCATCATCATCATTATCATTGTTATTGTTGTTTTGTTGTTGTCAACTATTTTTATGGCTATTATCATTTTTGATTTTCTTTCGAATACTGATGATAAAATCGAAACATTAGCCAGTTACACACACACGTGTCTGGCTTGGATCATTTAACGAAAATGTAATATTTCGATATAAATCAAGATTTTTGACACCGAAACAAATAGCCATTTGATAGCAGTGTAATGATGATGATGATAATCTCCATTATCTTCCCCCAGGATTGATTTTCTCTTCGCTTTTCTTCTTCAATTGAAATTTAATTGTTGCTTGTTGATCGAAAATAATAATAAAGCGAGACTTTCTGTTGACTGACCCAACCGAAAATTGATAGAGAAGGAAAAATTGGCCTAAATTCATTTCGAAAAACGAGAATGGAATGAGAAGGAAAAATTATTAATCAAATTAAGAAATTCATAATATGATGATGATGATAATATCCGGCCAATCATATCATATGTTTTTTCTTTCTCGTCGGGATTCAATAAGGGAAAAGAAAAAAAAAATTTATGGCCAAAAATCCAAATGATTTATAGCATTTGAACATGATCATTACACATACATACATACGATATGTAATTATTATCAAAATCAATGATGATGATGATGATGAAAATAAAATGTGTTGTTTTTTCACATAGTTTTTCTTTTTTGTTGGCTGGCTGGGATAAAAATAACGTTTGAAAAAAACAACATTGAATTTCATTTGTTGTCTGGATGATGAAATAGAATGGATGATTATTATTCGAATGATATGATCGAAATTCTTTCTCTCTCTCTCTTGATTTAGATGATATTTTTTTTGTTTACAACAAGCCATATGTTTGTTGTTGTGCAAATGGAATTTATTAAAAGTTTTTTTTTTGTTTTGTTTCTGGCCAAAATAATCCATTTATAATGCGTTTGGTTTTTGATGTTTATATAATCACTAATTTCGAAACGAGGCAATCCATCAAATGTTTTGGGGGGAAAAAATAAATTAGTTTTTTACACAAAACAAAAATCTGGAAAACATTTGAAATGAAAGCAAAAAGCAAGAAGAGAATATCGGTTAAATTTTACAAACAAAAAAATATGCTTTGATTATTCTGTTTTCTCTTACTTTTACTAAACAACAATAACAGATGTGTGATCATTAATTATCATTATAATCATCATTAGATAATTAGATAATTAGTAATCTTGAATACAAATTATAAACAACAAATGATAATGATTTGGTCCTGTTCTGAGAATTCGAATCTTTATCCGAGACAAAACAAAAAAAATATCGATTGTATCGATTATTTTTTTCCTCAAAAAAAAAATCGAATAATGTCTTAATCGAACACAATTTCCTTTCCTTTTATCATCATCGTCGATTTGGACATCACCAAAACAAAACAAAAGATTATCTTTTTTTTTCTTTTTTTTTTTGAAATTTTCACCATTCATTGATGATAATAAACCATGACAGGTAATTTTTTTTGTTTCAATTTATGTCAAATTGTCTTTCTTGAGAATTTTTTTTTCTTCCTCAGCTGCAAAAAAAAAAACACACGGATAATCAAACCGAAGAAAATGGAAAAGATAATAAAAACGAAAGAAAACAAGTTAAACAACAAGCCATAATAATACAATGAATAATCATCATCATCATGGATGATAATAATGATGGTCATCCGCATCATCCTATTACCGAAACGAGAATGACCTTCAAAAGTTCATCATCATCATCAGACAAAAAAAAGGTTAAAATTTACCTGAAGAAAATGCATAAAGTTTATATTATGACAGCCATAATAATAATAATAATAATACAAAGAATTTTGGATATTTTCACTCAAGAACAACAAGAAAATCTTATGTATAAATTATGTAAATGATGCGAATGACGATGAACAAATTTGCATTGAAAAAAAAGGTAAAAAAAAAAATTTTATTTTCGAAATGAAAAAAATAAAGATTCTTGGTTAAATTTAGAAAATAGAAAAAATAATCATAAATGAATTTTCTCGCAGGCTGTTGACCAAAATGTTTTCCATTAATCCGATCTATTCATTCATTCATTTCATTTGTTATCAATCGACATAATCCAATGACAATGAATTCAAAATAAAGCTATAAATATCGGCAACTTCTTCGATCTATGTAAAGAAAAACAAAGTTGGATGCATTAATTTAATTAAACAATAACGGTATTATTTTCAGAAAATGATATGATACAGAAAAAATAAACTTACAATTTTTTTAGTTGGTTTACCAAAACCATGACCAGCTTTCGTATCGATACGAATCATCAATGGTATTGATGGTAAACGTTTTCCCAATCGATATTGTAATTCGGAAATAAATTTAAATGAATGTAATGGAACAACACGATCATCATGGTCGGCTAAAAAAATCAAAAATTATCAACATTCAATTCAAAAATCACAAAAAAAACAAAACAAAAATTACCAGTCAAAAGTAATGTAGCTGGATAATGATCAACCATTGTCGGTATTGTATGTAATGGTGAATATGAAATTAAATTTCGATAATGTTTTTCACCATTATCATTATCATCGGGTGAACCATATTCCGATATCCATGCATGACCAATAGTAAATTTATGATAACGTAACATATCCAATACCCTATATGTTTGTTTTGTTTTCAATTAAAAATTTTTAAGATTAACATTCTCAAAAAAAAAAAAAACATTCAGGTTCACTTACCCAACATGACAGATAGTACAACCAAACAAATCAGGTCGTTGATTTGATACGGCCGCCACTAAAAGACCACCATTCGAACCACCTTGAATAATAATCCTTTTAATGATAGATTTGGATATTTAAAATGAACGAATTACAAAACATTGGACAAAAAAACTTACCGTTTTGGTGATGTATATTTTTCTTTAACCAAATATTCAGCAGCAGCAATAAAATCATTAAAACAATTTTGTTTCAATAATAATTTTCCATCATCATGCCATTGTTCACCATATTCACCACCACCACGTATATTTGCCAATGCAAATACACAATTCATATTATCTAATGGTATTAATCGAGCAACAGAAAAATATGGTTGAACCGGTATATTAAAACCACCATAACCATAAAGAAGACATGGATGATTGCCATTCATTTCTAGTCCATTTTTATGTACAATAAACATTGGCACTCGGGTACCATCTTTACTTTCATAAAATATTTGTTTCGTTACAAATTTGGTTGGATCAAAATTTTTCGGTACTGATTCACGAAAACATTTCGGTTCATCTTGGCTAATATCACCATTATCATCGGTGGTAGCAGTAAATTTCAGATGATAAGAACTTGATGGTACCAAAAATGATGTAAATAAAAAGAATAATTCATCATGTTTACGTTTAGCAGTGATTGCTGAAACAGTACCAACTGGTATTGAAATATTTTTTATCAAACTACCATCCGATAGTTTACGCAGTTCAATACGGCTAACAACATCGCTTAAATAATGACAAACCAAAATATTGTTACGTACAACCTGAATTGAATCCAATACATCTTTTGAATGTTCTTTGATCAAATCAATCCAATTTGATTCTAATCGTGTTGATTCATTTGATAAATCAATTTTGATTACATGAAATTTTGGTGCATGATGATTTGTATGAATATAATGTATTGGACCATCATTTGTTATATAATGATAATCTGATTCATATTCAGTTATTATTGGTTCAAATTCTAATCGACCATCGATTTTTGGATTTTTCGGATCCGAAAATTGATGATAATACCATAGATTATATTCACAACTATGATTAATGAATAGATGAAGATAATTGCCACAATCGCTAACACATGTTTTACTGTGTACATGGATAGATATAGTGAGATATAATCGTTATAACCTCGAAAAACCATGAATCAACAAAAAAAACTTACAATCGATAACGTGGATGGTCCGGTGTTTCATAGATAAGAATATCGGATGATTGTGGTTGATTCAAACGATGATAGTACAATTTTTGAAATGTACATTCAGTTGTTTCTTGACCATCACATTGATCATTTCGATCAGGAAAATACTGAAATTGAAGAAAGAGAGAAATGAAAAAATGTTTAAATTTTCAAAATCAAATCAAAAAAAAAAAAAATTACCGAATAAAAAAATCCTTTATTATCTTTAGTCCAGGAAATATTGGAAAATTTTACTTTGATCAATTCTTCATCCAAATCTTTGCCTGTATCAACATTACGAATACGAATTGAACTCCAATCGGAACCAGATTTTTGCAGACCATATGACCACCATTTACCATCATCGGAAAATGCACAAATATATGGTGATAATGATACGGTTCCATCTTCACTCAGTGAATTTGGATCGAAAAAAATTTCCGGTTTTGCATCCGAACTACCACGCATAATATACAATACACTTTGATTCTGTAGACCGGTATTCATTTCCATAAAATAATTATCACCTCTTCGATATGGACAACCATAACGTGGATATTCAAACAAATCGGTTAAACGTTCAATAATTCGATCACGATATTGACATGATTGAATATATTTTGAACTTATTCGGTTTTGTTCTTCAACAAATCGAGCTGTTTCATCACTATCAGCTTTTTCTAGCCATCGATATGGATCGGAAATTTTTTGGCCAAAATATTCATCTTCAACATTCGATAACCGGTTAACATCGGGATAAACAAATGGTCCACGTTCTGTACTCATTGTTTTTGTTTGAGTTTGAATTCTAAATGACAATAATCGAGATTGATTTTGAAATTTGCTAACAAAATTGCCTAATCGATTACAAACACCGTTGAACGATTTAATCATTTAAAAGTTACGAATAAAACATCACCACCCAAAAAAAAACTTCAAACTCATTGTTCTCTTATCATCTTTTATCGGGGATCATTCATCGACGATAGTATGGATTCGAATATTCGAACATCGATAAAAAACAATCGATATAATCGATTGTTTTGAATTTTTAAAAAACTTTTTTTTTGTTAAAATCTTTTCATTTAGTTAATTTTTTATTTATAATTTTACTCACAAATAATAATTAGTTATTAATTTTGGAAACAAAATCATATAAATCATCTGTACATTTGTTTGTGTAAGTATTGGTGTATAAATGGTAGATGTGTGTGTATTGTGTTTATTCTTCTTCTTCTTCAAATCATTAAATAGAGGAAAATAAAGGGATTTGTTTTTTCTTGCATTTTCATAATGTTCGAATGTTCAAGTGAGTTGTTTTTTTTGTTGTTGATGATGATGATAATGATAATGTTGGTGATGGTGAAACAATTAAATCAATCCGATTTGATTCAAAGATATCATTATCATTCGAAGAATATTCGTTATGGCTGTTTTTGTTGTTTAAATCATCATCATCATCATTATTTAATTATTTGTAGCATATAATTGTGTCCATTCTCGGGCTGTTTTAATAGCATCAGCTTCATTTACTTTCCATTGTTCAGCGACATCATTTGCTAATGGATCATCGGGATTTGGTGCCGAAAGTAATGCCTGTATTGATAACAATACCGTACGAATCTGTAATGCTGGACTCCATTTATCTTATCCGGAGAAAACGAAAAAACAAAAAGTTATTACAATCCAATTTCATTATAATTCACCAATAAATTACCTTTAAGAATATCTAAACAAATACGACCAAGTTTATCGATATTTGGATGATATATTTTGGTCATAAAACGTACTTTCGGTGCTGACATTGGATATTCTTCGGGTAAAAATAATTCCAATTTAAATACACCACCTTCAAATGGTGACTGATTTTGAAAAAAAAAATTAAAAAAAAAGAAAGATAAAATTATCAAATATCAACAGAGAAAAACAAATCCAAACTGAACTTACACCTTCAGGACCGGCAACAACAACATGAAAATATCTAGCATTATTATCATCGGGTACGGCTGATATTCCGGGTACTGGTTCAGCCATTAATCGTTGTGTTTCCTAAAAAATGTTTTTTTTTTTAATTTGAAATTTTTAGGCTAAAATAAACAGGTGATGAACACCTTACCTTGATGATACGTCTAGGCAGAGAAGTCATTGTTATTCAAAATTCAAAAAAAAAATTCTTTTCCAAAAAATTGAGATAAAATTCGAATCGAACGACCACTGATCTCAAATAGAATATTCTATTCGAATCTTTTTATTCAAATCACAAAATTTACTTTACAAAAAAAAAATCGAATGACAAGTTGAATTAAGTGTTTTTGAAAAGAAAAGAAATTCTTGTTACCCGATGACAATCCAAAAAAACAAACAATAACGATGATAATGATGACTTGAATCAATCAGAAAAAGTAAAATAAATTAAGAAAAAATTGGAGAAAAAAAAACGAAAAATAATGTTTCTCGTTGCTATTGGTATTTTCTTTTCGAACGAACGCACACACACAGAAGGGTATTATGTTGATGTTATGTTTTTTGGTTGTGTATGCGGTACACTGGTTGGCTTTTTAGGCGTCAGTATTACGTGATTTTCATTGTGACTATTCCCTCTCTCATTTCTCATATCTTTTTGTTTCTTCGAAAAACAATATTGTGAGCTATCCTCACTCTCTTGTTCTGTGAAATAGAGAGAGAGATGTTCATAAATGACATTTTGTTTTTTGGTTGATCCACGTGATCCATTTTCATTGATTTCGTTTTTTTTCCGTTATCATTAAAATTTAAATGGTAAGTTTTTGATGATAATCTTCAAAAAAAATTGATTAATTATTACAAACATTTGAATATTCGCAAAGCGATTTTCTATTGTTCGTACCATTTTATCATCATCATCATTATTTCGACATCGACAATTTGATTTTGATGTAAAACGTTTTCCGCATCGTTTTTCCAATGTTCAACATTTGTTTTCGATTAGTAAATTGAGTACAATGACCAATAGTAACCCTTTACCAACGGCGACGACAACGAAAAACAAATTAATTTGGCCACCCGATTCAGTACGTGGAATGCGTGAACTTGATCGAGATTTATTTCGTCGTCCAGTAAAAATACCATTCATTGTAACCGATATTGATAATCTTACCGAAGTTGTTCAAAAATTACGACCTTATTTTTTAAAACTTCAACAATTTAAACCAATACAATCATATCAACCACAATCAGAACCAGAACAACAATCATCAAATCTAAAGCAAATATTCTTAAATCCCGATCATTTTACTGAATTCGAATCGATAATCAAAAATCTTGAAAATGATAAACTTTTATCTCGTTTAACCGATGATGAAGAATATCTTGGTCATAAAGAATTGGAACTTCGATATGAAAATTTTAATCACCTTGTAATATTTCGTTCAATATTTAATCATTTAGAATCGAATGATCAGAATCAAGATTATTCTCTTTCTGGTTTCAGTCAAATTGGTCATATTATTCACTTGAATCTTCGTGATCATATGCTACCATATAAAAAACTTATCGGCCAGGTATTTTTCATTTCTTTGATTTTCGACAATTTTTTAACTTTTTCCTTACGCCGATTTCTACCCCAATAAATAGGTTCTTCTGGATAAAATCAATGGATGTCGATTAGTTGTAAATAAAATCGATATAATCGATAATAAATATCGTAATTTTCAAATGGAAATATTAGCTCAAATCGATGATAATAATCAAACTACTATTGTTGATACTATTGAAAATAATGTCCGATTTCGTTTTGATTTCGCCAATGTTTATTGGAATCCACGTTTAGGTATTGAACGTTCATTAATCATGAAGAAATTAAATCCAAAAATTGATTTTGTTTATGATGTATTTGCTGGTGTTGGACCATTTGCTGTGTCGGCAGCTCGTTTACGAAAATGTCAATGTTTGGCAAATGATCTGAATCCAGAATCATATCGTTGGTTACAGGAAAATGTTTGTTTAAATAAAGTTGAACATTTGGTTAAATGTTTTAATCAAGATGGACGACAATTTATACGTGAATCATTGAAAGAAGATCTTATTCGACAAATTGAATCTTTTGATGGTTCAGATTTTAATCGTCAATATCATGTTATAATGAATTTACCTGCAATGGCCATCGAATTCCTTGATGAATTTAATGGTTTATTATCATCAATTCGTTTGAATCAAAATTATAAAATTCCATTTCTACGTATACATTGTTATTGTTTTCTCAAAAGTAATACTGTTGATGATTGTAAATCACTTTGGCAATTGGCAAGCAAAAATCTTGGTCATCCAATCCTCGAAAATGATATTGAAGAATTACATGAAGTACGAAAAGTTGCACCAAATAAAATTATGTATCGACTTAGTTTTCGTATTGGAAAAAATATTCTTTATGGACAAAATGATGATGATGATGATGATAATGGCAACGAACAATCAAAAATTGATTCAAAATCTTCATTAAAAAGATTAAAAGTTGATTAAAAAAAATGTTTTGTTTTTCTTTTTTTCCTCTAACTTTCTGTAGAAAAAATGGCAAAAAAATTTCAGAAAAATCATCAATCATCAACAAAACATAATGGTAATAAATTGTCAACAAAAAATTTCTTCAAAGTAGATCCAAAACGTGCAATGAAAGCAAAGAAAAATCAATCAAAATTATTGAAATATAAAAATGAAATGAATCATCAGGCCGTAATGGAATTGAATAAAAATCTTGATTCAATTCGTAAGAATCAAAATTCATTTGAAAAAATAGTCAAGGTAATGAAAAAATAATCGATTGAAAATTCCTTTTTAATCAAAATTTCTCATTTGTATTCCGCGAAACCAGGAGCAAACGGAAAAACCATTCATCAATCCAATGAGCATCAATGATAAATCGATGACGATGACGTCGACAACGAAAGATCTAAACGATGCAATCGATAAATTGTCCAATTTATAATCATTTCTGTTTATTTTATGTTTTTTTGAAATCAATTTCCAATCAAAATTGATTAATTATCAAAATGAAATTGAAATTTTTTTCAAAAAAAACGCCTAATTTTCTTTGATGATCGATGATGATGTTCCGTACATAGATGACATGTTCATTTGGATTTGTTTTGTTTTTTTTTTTGCCATCATCAATAAGGAAAATTGATATTTTTTCTTTTCTGGTGGAGGTTACCAATATTGATTTTTGATTCCGTATGCGCGTTTTTTATTTTGTTTAGTTTTCTCTTGATTCTTCCCATTTTTTTTTTGAAAAAAATGATGATAATAATGATCAGCCAATGAATCAAATTGGCCAAATTTGATTTTTTCATAAAACGTTTTGTTTTGTTTTGGTTTTTCGATTTGATTCGATTCGATTTCACATTCGAATCATCATTCAATCATTCATCATCGATGGCTTGTATGGATTTTTCATTCGATTCAAGAATTCGTAAAAAATATGTACCATTAATCAATCAACAGGTAATGATGGTCTGAGAACATTTTTCCTTTTTTTAAATGAAAATTTTCAATTTTTTTTTTTGAAATTAGCGATATCTACGTCATGTAAAACGTATTGCAGCACGTAATCTATTTATTCCGGAACAATTATTACGAAATAAAGTAAAATTCCCACATCATCAGGATGATAATGGTGATTCAATTGTCGATAATGTTGATGATTTATTTGCTCAACATTCGAATGATAATGAAGATGATGAAACATTGCTATATTCACGTTTAAATATTTCATTTTATTATACTATACATTATCCAATTATTCAACAATGTCATGATTCGAACGAACTTTTCAAATCATCATCCAATCATAATCATCATCATCAGGATTGTAATTGTGGACGATTATTATATCGTAGTGAATGTTTAATGAATAATGTTTGTATCTGGATTTGTGTTTGATTTGATTTTTTTTGTTAATTTTTCATTTTCACAATCACAGAATCCATCATGGAAAGTTTTCAATGGATCATCACTTTGTTCACCATCAATATCACAATTTATTGTTCGTGTTTATTTTCTACAAAAAGATCGATTTAATCCATCATCATCATCAAGAAATTATATCAAACTGAATGATGATGAAGAAATGCAAATTTCGAATGAAATTGGTACATTATTTCTTGAATGGAATGTAAATCTTACTGGCCTACTGTATATTGGTGAAGAATTTCCAAAAGATCGACGTTTAACACGAAATTCAATAATATTTGGTTTTGCTGAAGGTTTTTATACAAGTGTTTGTTCAGTTGCAAGTGAAAATCTTCTTACACATTCAATACCACCAAGTGAAAGTTTACAAATTAATGATTATCATTTAACACGTGATTCATATTGTCTAGATACATTAATACGAATACAAATTATACAATGTATAATACAAGCAACAGCAACACAATCACAGCTAGAAAAATCATCATTAGAAGATGAATTGGAAAAATTTCGTCGTAAACAAGAATTACAATCAGAAATTGAAAAAATGAAAACTTCTATTGAATTTCTTCAAATAGTAAAGGAACGTCGTCGTAAACAATTAGAAAAACAACGTAAAGAATTGTTAATGATTGAAGAAAAATTATGTGAATATAATATGGATATGTCATCAAATGTACAAAAACTTAAACAAGAATTATCCATATTAAGTGAATTACGTTCAATAAAATTACCTGAAATGGTTAGGAAATTATTACAATTACGTACGACATTATCATATCATCGGAAATTATTAGCAAGGAAATTTTTCTCCGATATTTATTCAATTGAACAATTTCCCGATGGACAAGGTTATTCAATAAATCATATACATTTACCTAGTTCACAACAACAATTTGAACAACATCAATTGAAAATGATATCAATTGGTATTGGTTATGTTGCACATCTTGTTTATTATCTTTCAATTGTATTGGATGTTTATCTTTTTCATCAGGTAATATTTTTAAACAGAATTTTTCAGCAAAAATTATTTGACACTTTCCATTCAATCAATCAAAATAGATAATACCATTTGGTTCAAATTCATCAATATTAGATCTTTATAATCGTCTATTATCACCATCCGATCGTATTGTACCATTATATTTAAAATCAAAATCAAATTTAAATTTAAAATTTTTTAAACATGGTTGGTATCTATTGAATCGTAATATTGTATTTTTATTACAATCAATTGATGGTATTGTTGATAATGAAATTGATTTAGCTAAAACATTATACAATTTATATTCATTATATCGTAAAAGATTTGCATATGATAATGATGATAATATTGGTAATGATTGTCCTAATGATGATACATTAAATCGTTTCAATACTTATACACCATCGATCATTATGGTCGATAATAATATCCATAGCCAACAACAACAACAACGTCAACGTAGCCATAGTGATGATAATAATTTTGATTTGGATAATGAAAAATTATTACGTAATATTAATGAGTAAGTAAATAATACATCATTGATTCGATTAATCGATTGATTTTTTTTAATTTTTTCATGAAAAACAAAGAGTTAAAATTAACGATATAATGATTGATTCATTATGGAAAGAAGTTGAACAAATGACAATACAATCGATAAAAACTCAGACACAATCCACGATTGGAAAAAAACAACAACAGTCATCATCAACTTCGGCATTGACAGCTATTGTTGAAGAACAGATAAAAGATATTATTAGTAAACAACGACAACAAAAGCGTCAACATAATTCCGAAATTCTAAGTCAATTATCATCATCATTATCATTTTCACGTGCATCATTATCATTCGATATATTAACACCAAATTCTATACGTTCATCTGTGATATCAACATCATCACCACAGGAAATTCTTCGTCATCAACAACGACGATTTAGTTCAACAACCATAACAAATCCACCATTATCATCATCATCAATGGTAATAAATTCAGGACAATTATCATCATCTTCATTTGGATCAAGTGGTAGTGGTGGTGGTGGTGGTTTTTTACATGATGGTGATCATCATAGTCCATCATCATCATCATCATTTCGTTTAAATGGTCATCATTTAAATTGTCAATCATCAATGTTATTTCAACAATTTCATTCGATACGTAGAAGTCAACAACAACAACAATCAAATATATCGAATACAATGTTAATCCATGGTCCACAATCATTACCATCATCAATGAATCATTCATTTTTACATCCAACAACAACAATAACGGAAACAACAACAACCGCAGCAACAACATTGGCAGAAAATTCTTTATCCAATCAATTACCACAATGCTCATCATCATCATCCAATACTTTTAATAATCTATCTTTATCATTAGATAATCTAATTGATAGAAATCATCATAATCATAATCAAAATCATCGTTTATCAATTGATCAAAATCATCGAAAAAAACAATTTGATACAATATCCATTGTTCATGATGATAATGATGATGATGATGATGATGATGGTATTACATTCCATTGTATGGATCTGAAAAATTCAACAAAATTCAATGATAATGACCATCATCATCCACAGCAACAACAACAGTCGATAATTAATGATAATGATGATGATGGTCATTCAACGTAGTTTTTCATTATTATTTTTTTGTTTGTTTTGTTTTTGTTTTTTTTGTTTAATTGTAATTTTTCACTATACTCGTAAATACTAAAATGAAAAAAAAGATTCAGAAACCCGATGTGATATTTATTATTATTATTATTAATTAATATTTAGGAAATAAAAATCGTCTATTTTAAAATTAAATTTAACAAAAAGAAAGAAAAAAATATAAACAACAAATAAAAAGTTTCGTTTTTTTGGGGGACAAATATATCTTTGTTACAAAGGACAAAGTTACAAAGGAGTCACACACACACAAATACACAAAAGTAAAATTGTCCAAAATGATAATGGACAATTGTGGTTATTGTTGAACAATGATTAATATCGTCAATATTTTTTGGATGGATGGATGGATGAATCGTTGATAAATTAAGTTAAAAAAAGTGAACAAGGATTGTTTATGCGTTTGTTGTTGTTCGATCACGATTGATATTGTTGATCACGATTGATTGATGATTTTGTTCATTAATTTATCATTATTATTATTATTATTATTATCCATTCAATCGATCCAATTCAAGTTTATGATTGCCACGTTTTGTTACATCCAATGATGATGTTTTTGATTGAAAATTTTGTGCAATCTGTTCACTTGATTTACCTTTGGTTTCTGGTAGCAAAAATATAACAAATATTATGCTTACAATAGCCAAACCAGAGAATGAAAAAAATGTTCCTTCAGTAGTGATACTATCTTTAAGTAATTCAAAATTTTTTGTCATTAAAAATGCACATGTCCAATTGAATGCTGTTGCAATAGCACTGGTCATTGAACGTGAATCGGTTGGTGTAATTTCGGCAACCATTAACCATGGAACTGGCCCATAACCGATTGAAAATCCGATAATAAATACGACTAGACTGACCAATGGTAACCAGCCAAGACTTTTGGCCGTATCTGGATGTTTATCTGCTACATAATAATAAACACCTAATGCAGCTAATGAAACAACATGTAAAATACCAGAAGCACTGAGAAGAATTTTTCGACCAAGACGATCAACCAATAAACTACCGGCACCAGTAGCAATAACTTGTGCAACACCGATAATAATTGTTGCATATTTTGGTTCAATAGAACTTCCTGCTTCGGCAAATATTGATGTTGCATAAAACATTACAGCATTAATACCGCTAAATTGTTGAAACAACATCAACAATAATGCCAATATGAATGGCATTAAATGTGGTCGGCTACCATAGCTACTTAATTTAAATCCACCACCTTGTTTATCAATTTCAGCTTGTTGTAACATACGCATTTCTTGATCGGTATCACTATTTTGGCCACGTAATCGACGTAATGATTGTGTTGCTTCGGTAACTTTTCCTTTTGACATTAACCATGATGGACTTTCGGGCATAAAAAACATACAAATCATCATTACGATTGTCGGTATCATTGAAACACCGGCTAATGGACGCCATTTTATAAAAGCTCCAATTATATAGACCAAAAGGATGCCGATTGTAACGAAAAGCTAAACAATTTCAAATTAATCATTTTTTCAATTTTAAAAAACAAAACGAAAAATTCCTTTACCTGAAAACAAGCACCAATCAAACCACGAATAGCGATTGTAGAAATTTCAACAACATATGATGGCGCAGTACCGGACAATAGACCACAACTGATACCACAAACAACACGTCCAACAATTAAAAGGGTAATACTTTTGGCAAAAACTAACAACAGCCAACCAATAGTGAACGGGATTCCATAGAAAATCAATGCCTTTTTACGGCCAAAATATTGTGATATTGTACCGGAAAATAATGCACCAACTAATGCACCTAATGTCATACTTGAACCAATCCATGTAATAGCATCTTTATCGGCTACATTATCTAATTTAGGTTGACTATCATCATCGACCATTGTTATTAATGCTGGTGCTGTCCAACCTAATACAAGACCCATACCTAATGCACCAAGTAATGCTGATACAGTAGCCAAATATAATGTCATTGATGGTTGTTGTTTTATACGTGGACGTTCACTTTCCGAATCCATTGTTGTTGTTTGATTATTTGGATGATGATTATGATTATAATGTTGATGAGGATTTGTCGATGTTGTTGTTGTTGTTGTATCAGTGATTATCGATAATTCAGCCGTATGAAATAAATCCGATCCTGTTGTTGTATCTAAACTTGAATATGATACGGCTGTTAATGGTGATCTGTGAACGAAAAACAAAAAAAAATTAGATCAGAAAATTTTAAAAGAAGATTTTTAAAGAAAAAACCCACCGGCTAAAGTAAAATAGATTATTACCCCAAAACCCAAACAACAATCACTGGAGAATGTCAGAATAAATTGTAAGTCGAAAAATAAAATGAAAAAAAACCTGAAATTTTCAAGTTGTCAATCAAATCTTTTTTATAAACAACATAATCTTCTCTGTTTTTCAATGTTATATTCAATTACAATTTTTAAGATGATGATGTAGCCAGAAAAAACATATACATCAATATCATCATCACATTCAACATTCACCAACAAACACCACAAAACAGACAGATATTACATTTCAAGTCTTTATTTTTCGATGAATTTTTTCTTAAAAAAACTACTACCACAACTGAAAAACTGAAAAAACTAAACTAAAAATATATGTGAGAAATCAACAAGACCACCACCGACAAATATATATAGTCATTCATATCTAATATTTTCTATATATACATTGTAACCAAACCAATTCAAATTCAAATGATGAAGAAAAACGCAAAGAGGAAGTGTGTTCAGGAGGTTCAGTTTTAAGCAAGAAAAAAATTGAATGAGATGATGGAAGGAAGGGGAAGAAGGGGAACGAAAAAATCTTTCGAAATGAATTTCTCTTTCGACGACGATGATATTGCATGCGTGGGTGGATGAATGACGAAAACAGAAAAATGAAAGGTATTTTCCCTTGTGGCTGCTGCTGCTAAATGTTAAAGTTTATTTTTTTTGTTTGAATCCATGATGATGATGATCGGTATCACAGAAAAGTAAACGTTTTATATGAAAAACAAAATGATGACGAACGGAAATATTTTTGGCTTGTTTTTCGATTTTTAGATGACATTTTGTTTTCTTGAAAAAACATTATCATCAGATGATGATGATGCAATATTTGACAGATGGATTTTCACAAAACAAAACAAAACAATCCATCATGTGAATATGGAAAATGTCAAAAAATCATTCGAATTCGAATTCGAATCGTAAATACCATTCTTCAAGATGGAAAGGAGGGAGGGTGGATAATGGGAAATGTTTTCGGGAAAAAAATCATTGGGTTTTCCGGCTGTAATCAAAAGAAATTTTCCTTGGAAACAATACATACCTACTCCCACCATAATCAGAAACATTCGAATCGGTTGATGATGATGATGATGATTTATGAATTATATTCATTGTTATCATTATTATTCTTTTCGATATTATTGATGATATTTTTTCCATTTTTAATGAATTTGTAGAATCGTTTTTCAAACAACAATAAACAACAACAACAACAAAAACATATGGTAAATCAACAAGAATAATAATTATCATAATAATAATGATTCTTTTATTTCATTTCAGTTTGGTTTGGAATCAAAATCATGAATGAATTCGAATCGATTCAAAGCCAAAAACAAAATTTTATTACAAACGGAATCGATAGGATTAAAAAAATAAAAATAAAACCAGCCGCCAAACAAAAACAAAAAAATAAAATCCGGGTAATTAATTTTTGTGCTTTATTCTTTTTGGATCATCAATTCTGGATCGAAAGAATCGAAAGTGAAACGACCTTTCTCTCTCTCTCAACACAAGGAAGTTTTGTATGTTTTGAATCCGTCAAACCAAAAATTGTACATTTTTCTTTCATTGTATCAACTATGTTTCAATTGAACATTTGCTGCCGATATCAATTTCATCATCACCACCACTTGAATCAACAACGACGACAAACAATTTTCTAATCATCCGATATAGTAATTTGTTTCTATTTCGGTTTCTATTATTTGTTGGTTTGTTTGTTTGTTCAGTCAATCATGTGCCATCATACAAAAACAAATTGTGACGTAATTGATTTGAAAACAATTACACGCCACAGCAGCAGTATCAATATCGAAAAAATCATTTCGAGAATTGCGATTAAATGCTTTATCATCATCATCATCATAAGTTTATGAAATTCAAGAATTCGAATGTCATCACATACCTTTTCCTTGTGTTTTGTTTTGTTTTTCGATGATGATGATCAATTAGTCGATATAATGTGATAAAACAATGCACAAAACAAGAATGAATCGAAACAATTTGAAGAGGGAAAATGTCAAAAGTTTTTTTTCATTTATTCAATTGATGCGTGTCTTTGATGCTATGATGATTATGATAATGATATCCAAGTAATCAATCAATCAATCAATTTATCGATCAACCATAAATTCATTTTCTTTTTAAAGTTTTTTTTTCGGCCTCATTTATTTGATCGGATATCATTTCGATTTATTGCAATTTTACATCTACTTTTTTTCATTACATTTTTATTTTCTTTAAAATCGACAAAAATTTAAAAAATTTTTTTTCCTTCTTTTTTTGAAGATAAGTGTTTTCAACAAACAAAAAAAAATCAACGACCTATCGATGATGACTAAATCCAAATAATCATTCGATCAGGAAATTGAATGACTGATTTTCAAAAAAAAAAGAAAACCAATTTTAAATCCACTTCAGCTAACCAACAAATCATATGAGTGGATCTATGAATTATCCTTATCATCATCATTATTATCAAAAATTTAAAAGTCACTCGCTTAAGTTCACTTTCAATATATACAAAGTCTATAAATATTATCATTATTACTGATCATTATCATCAAAGATGGCATTTTAACTCTGAACAACAACAGCAATAACAACAACAATTAAATTCCATTGCCAAGAAAAACAACCGAAAAAATCATTGAAGGTCATTAATTGAATTTTTTAAAAATGAATTGAATACGCTAAACGAAACGAAAAACACTTACCTTGATTTTATCAACTGACTTTTAGCTGTAAAATAATTTGAATTTTGTGATTCATTTTTGTTGTTGTTGTTATTGTTATTGCTGTCATGATTATCTTGATGATATGGATGATGAATGTTTGTTGACGATGATGATGTTTGTTGTCTTCGAACGTTGTGTTGTTTGATAAGTTTTCCATCATCATCATCATCTACATTATCATGATAGATATGAATGGCATCGTTCATTTGTCGGTGTTGTTGTTGTTGTTTGTCGGCCATTGATTTAACCAGAACTATTTTTTTTTATCCAAATTTTTCCGATTCAAAGATGAACAAAATTTAGTTCAAAAAACGTGTCCTGTCTAAAATTTTCTGATTGATTGATTGATCGACTGAAAATCATTCGATTTTTTTCTGTGTGTGTGTGTTGAAATCATTTTTTACCAGAAAAACAAAACAAACATGACAACCAAACGATCATATCGATTTGATTTGACCGTATCAATTTAATTCAACAAACCAAACAAACCTAAATTTGATAAACCAACTTTTTTTTACGTGATTTATTTCAATCGATTAGATTTCGAATCTGAAAATTTCATATCAAAATCGTAAATCCAATATCATCACCACCATCGATGATAAATAAAAAGTCGAAAAAAAATATCTTTACTTAACTCGATAATGATGATATTTTCAAATTGATCGTGATGTTTTTGAATGATAAAAAGAAAAAAAATCCTTGAATGAATGAAAATGATAATTTTCAATCAAAAAAAAAAATGATTTCTTCACACACATCATAGAAAATCCCAATCCGATTCAAAAACATTTTGACACTAAGAAAATTAAAATATTCATTTCATTTTTAATACACATTCAATTATTAATATCCTAAATCAAATTCAATCATCATGTGTCGGCGAATAATTGAATGTTTTTTGATGATGATGTTAATCAGAAAGAAAATCCTTTTTTTTCAGTTTTGTTTTTGTATAATGAAAATGATGATAATGAAACAATGTTTTGAATATTTATAAATGGGTATGTGTGCGGGGTGAATGCTGTAATTTTTACATCAAACAAACAGATAACAACAACATCAACAAAAAAATGTTTACACCATATGACAATAAAATGATTGATTGATTGATTGAATGAAATAAAATGATAGAAAGGAAGGAAGCCAAAAAAAACAAACAAACAAACAAATGGGTGAGACATTCATAAAGACTAGTACTCAAAAGTACAACAAAGATTTTTTTTTGAAAAAAAAAAATATCAAGGCGAATAAGGTGGTGGTGGTGGACATGATGATGATGTTGATGATGATTGAGGTATCATTGATGGTGGTATTGATGGTGGCAGTATCATTGTTGATCGTTGCGTCGATGATTGATGATTTTGATTACAATAATGTGACCAATCATTTGCAAATGAATATGGTAATATTGTTGCCGTTGTTGTCGTTGGCGATTCTAATGAATTATTCATCATTAAAACATCCGAATTAAGTAATGAATTTTCATCACCATTATTATTATTATTGACATTCGTTGCTGCTGTTGTTGTTGTTGATGATCGTAAATGTCGTGCCATTAATGATCGATTATTATTCGTATGATGATTAGGATAATAATGTGGATAATATCCATTACAATCATCATAATCATTATGATTATTATTGTTTAATCCATTAATACGTTCGATAAATATTTGTCGTGGACGACGAAATAGATTTGCAGCTGAAGCCAAAATTGATAAAAATCCTGCTAATGTTATTAGATAATAACTAAGTTCAAATTTTACTTCAATCTGATGAATTGTTAGATAATCTAATGGTTGAACAATATTATTATTGGCCGATGTTGTTGTTGTTGTTGTTGTAAATGTTGCACGACTAATCATACGATTTTTAAACCAAATTGCATTCGGTTGCTGTTGATGATGATGATGTGACATTCTTGTAGCATTAAATAATTGTTGTAATTGTACACGTTCATATAAAACGCTTATAAAATAACAAATGCCAATAATCAATACACAGAATAAAACGCAAAGAATATTTCCCATTGCATATTGACGTAATAAATTCATCCATTTACGTCCACCCGAACCCATTGTATCCAAAAAAAATTGTACTAATGTTGACATTATTGCTAAAAAACATAGGCCAATAATTGTACGTTTTAATGCTAGAATTTGTGCATTAGCACATGATTTAAAATCCGGTGTTAAACCATAAATAGTAACCGGTATTAATGAATAAGTTGATGAATATGATGATGATGAATGAAATGGACCATTATAATAATATTGTGGACGATATTGTGTATTTGGATTCGATGATGATGATGATTGTTGAAAATCAAATATCGATAATGATGGTGATATTGAATTATCATCAATGTTTGCTGTTGATGGTGTATCAATAGAATTATCTGATTTTGAATAATAACGTTGTCCAGCTGATGTTGCCGTTGTTGTTGGTACACAAAGATCATTATAAATTGAAAACCATTTTGGTTGTACTAATGCTGTTGCTAATATAGCAATAACAATTATCGATAGTATTGCTGCCAATACATTACGATCATTATTATGATGATGATTATCCACATTCAAATATGATCGATGATTATTAAATGAACGTACAGTAATCATACCATTACGATGAATAATGCCAACATTATTTGAATAAGAATTTGAATTCGTATTATTGCCATTATTAAACAGATAAGGATGATGATATGTTTGATGATGACGATAATTATCACGATCACGACATAATGTTGTTGATTGGGAATTTGAATTAGAATGATGCTGTCGATGATGATGACGTGATGATCGTCGATTTGATCCTGGAAAACCAGAAAAAAAACATTCAGAAAAAAGAATGAGAATTTTCAAAAACTTACGATGAGTATTGTTTGATGATAAGGAGCGAGTAGAATGATTGGTTGTTGGACATTCCGGATTCAATAAATCATTGCTATTATTATTATTATTTGGTAAATTTTCATCAGAATCTAAAAATGGGTTATCGCTACTACTAGTAGCAGCAGTAGATTGATTAACCATTGAATTATCTTCTTCTTGTTGTTGAAATCTTGTTGTAATTTGTTGTCCAAACGAACGGATATTATTCAAACCAGAATTAAAACGTTCACTAACTTCTTGATAGAAACGTGTAAATTCCGGTCTTAATTCCAACATTATCATTTGATTTTCCCTTTTCTTCTTCAATCGAATATCAAAAAAATTTTGTAAGAAAAAAAATTGATCACAGACGAAAATCAAAGTAAAAAAGACTTGTTTGTAATGTTAACGGAAAATTCTTTCAATCAAAGATTCTTCCAAACGATAATTCTGAAGAACATTGATGGTTAACTAAGGCCAAATCTTATGCAGCAAGGAAAAAAACCAAAATATTAAGACGTCGATGATGGAAAACAAAAAAAAAACTTCGAGCCACCACACTCAACTGCGAAGTAAACATTGAAAATGAATACACGAAAAAGATGAAAGAGAAAAATAGAGAAAAATAAACCAAACAACTAACGCCATCTATCGGTGTTGAATAAACACACACACAAAAAAAGAAAAGAAAATTTAAGAATTTTTTTTTTGGAAAATCTTTTTTTTTTTTAATTTTAAGAAAAAAAAGATGTTTTTTTTTTGAAAAATTATTATATTATAATTGGAAAATAATGTCCCAGGATGTTACGGTGGACAAAAATTTCATTTCATCATTTTTTTTAGCCAAAAAATTCATTCATTCTATTCGCGATTCATAAGCTTTTGTCGTGCCAATTTCTTTTTCGATAATTTTTTCTTCGGTTGATCGGCTTCATCCTGTCCTTTGGCTACCACTTGTTCTTTTTCGGCCAATATCAATTCAATATGACATGGGCTTGACATGTATGGATTAATACGACCATGTGCACGATATGTACGACGACGCATTTTTGGTGCACGATTTACCTGGATTAATAGAAAAAATAATTAGTTTTTGTTGGAAAATTTTACACAAACAATCGAAAAACAAACCATAATATGATCGATAACTAAACGTTCGACATCTAATCCTTTAAAATCGGCATTACTTTCAGCATTGCGTAACAATTGAAGCAAAAATTCGGCACTTTTTTTCGGCCAACGTCCTTGTGTAGCCATTGTCCATGCTTTAATCTGTGCTTTACGTCCAACACCACCATTAAAACGACGAAATGGTACAATTTCTTTTTGAAGAATAACATTTTTCAAATAACGTTGTGCACGTTTTAATGGCATTTTTTTAATAGCTTGTGCTGTTTCACGGGTATTTTTGAAATGAACCCGAAGATTACTGCCACGTGCTTTACATGATTTACTTGTATTATCTGGTTCAGTTTGATAACGAGTCATTTTTTCCCAAATTGATTAGATGTTTTTGAAACAAAACAAAACAAAAAACGAAAAAAAACACCAAAAAATAGCCAAAATTTCAACGAAAAAATTTTCACACAACACAAACACACGGCTGCGACAGGAAAGAGTATTTGGCAAACACACACGCACTCAAAACAACAGACATGCTTAGTGTTGGAAAAAAAATATCGATACAATCGATATTTTGAAAAAAATTGACGATCCTTTCATCAAAGTTGTTACTTGATCGATCACGTGATGTAAGCAGCGTTGAGTTAATTTTTTTCAAATCAAAATCAAAAAAATTCTGAATTTTCAAAAAACTTGTCAAAATTCATTAAATCATGGCTCATCATCATCATCATCAACATCAATCATATGATAGTTTTCTTACAAATTATCAACATCGTCTTAAAAGTGATATCAATACTATTGCCGAAAATTTTGCCGAAATATTTCGTACAGTTCGTATTGATGATAAAATACAATATTCCAAATTAGATGAATTATCATTCGAAGTTAATATACGTGCAGCGAATTTTATTCGTGCTTGTGAATCATTATTAAAATTAATTTGGGAAATTAAACAATATCAAACTATTAATGATTTTCCATTGATTAATGAATCGATTACGAAAAAAACTGAACAAAATGTTCGTAAATCAAAAGAAATTGATCAAACATTGGTTGCATTACGTGATGAAATGACCAGTGAATTATATGATCTTGAAGATGAATATTATAATTCATATATTAAATATACTATCTAAATTAATCATTTTATAAATAAAAACAAACTTTAAATTTTATAAAATTCAAATGATTCAAATTTTCAATGTTCCATTTTCTAACATACAAAGAATTTTACTAAAGAAAAATGAATCCAATAATTGATTCATCTCACGATTTATCTGTCGTACATGTGGATCATTTAGATCGATTTTGTCATCATTATTGGTTTTTGATGTTGATTGTCGTTGATATTGTTGTAGATATCGATCCAATGTATTTGATTGTACCGTCGTTGATGATTTATTGTTGTTGTTTGATTTATTTTTCATTGGACTTTTTTTCCCAACCATTTGGATTGATTTTTTTATTGGACTTTTTGATTGTATCGGTGGTTGATTGATGGTTGAATGATTTTTGGAAGATTTTGGTTGTTGTTGTTGTTGTTGACCAATAAATGTAATACGATCAATTTTTTGAAAAAATTTTTCAATTTTTGCTGTACTATACATAATAGCTTTGGTTGTATCCAAAAATTTGGTTGCTGCTAATGATAAATTCTGTATTGGATCTTGTATAATTATTAATGGTTTTGAAAATAATTGTCGCATTATATCGGATGCTATTCGTTCGGCAGGTGGATAATCACCTAATGTAATATCGATCGGTATTGATCGATGACAATGACCTTTACCAGCTGTATAATATCCGACAATCATTAATCTAGCTAAACGTTGATTCATTTCTTTATCTTTCATCATTCGTTCATAAAGTTCTTTTAGTAATGAATTAATCCATTGATTAACATCGGATTGTTTACATAAAGCCATTTTTCCACGAAAATTTTTCCCACAACCAATTGATTTTGTTAATCGACGATCCGATACTGGTTCATTATCCAAACCATTAGCTAAATCATTTAACCATTCAGCAGTTTTATTATCAAATTTTTCATTCAATGTAAATCGATTCACTTGGCTAAGTTGATACATTGTTTGTATATTGAAAATTGTCTTGATTTGATTGCCAAGTTTTCCACCCAATAATCGTACATCACCAATATCGATTCGCTTGAATAATGATGATACAGCAATCATTGGTAATATAGTTTGTGCATTTGGTTTGTTAAGGCCACAAGCCAATTTCGATAACATTTTATTATGACTAATACCAGCCGAACATTTAAATTCTGTTTTTTCAAATATCTGTTGCCTTAATTGGCCAACAAACATGGAAGCCATAATCAAACGAATATTATCTTGTTGTTGTCGATTATCAATATTGTGATGTTCAAATTGATCAAACCAATCATTCAATGATTGATTATTGAATTCAAGTTTTGTATTGAAGTTGGTCAGATCTTCAAGTTCAGGTAACATTAATGGTTTTGCATCGATTAATTTGGTTAAATCAAGAAATGCTTCATCAACCGATGCACGTTCCAAAATGACTAGATTATTTAGATCCATTGATTTTTCTTGTTCTTCAATAAAATCAGAAATCACTTGAAAAACTTCTGCACTGGCATCACGATATTTATCCAATTTAGCTTTACCATTTTCATCGGGAACACGAAAAATATGCAATTCTGGACATAGTTTTTTTGCTTGATCACCCATCATACCGCGTTTAATACCATAGGCACGTGCTTCATAATTAACCGCTATAATTCCACCACCTAATCCGGATAAAAGCGAGAGAATTAATTCAATAATGAGAAAATTTCAGAAAACAAATCGAACCTTGCCAATTATTATATTGAGCAACAACACAAGGTTTTAACCATTTATCCGATTCTAAACGTTGTTCACATTGAACATAAAAACAATCCATATCAATCAATACAACGATTCGATTACGATCCCCCATTGCACGTTCAATCAATCAATTTTGGACAATTTTTGCAAGAAAATTCAAAAAATCAAAAAACATTCGATTTCATCATCACCATCACTATCGATACCATGTTCAACAATCGATAGTGATAATAACATTCGAAATTTTCAATCTTTAAATTTTTTTTGTTTCAAAATTTTTAAAAATTTTGAATTTTTTTATTTTATTTTTAATTTATTAATCAACTAATCAAAATTGATTATTTTGGATATTTGGAACAATAAAATTATCTCATCTATTAAATAACAAATAAAAGAAATCGAAAGGGGAAAAAATTCGCACACAGAGAAAATAAAGATAAGTTTTTTAAGTTTTGTTTTTTTAAAATTTGAAAACAAAAACGAACTAAATTTTTGTTTTTTTTTAAATAAAAATAAAATCCTGAATATAAAAACGACGAAGAAAGAAGATTCACAACACACGAGATAAGTTCAAATTGAATTTGTTTTTTTTTTTGTTGAATTTATCAGGAATTATAATTAGGCGAATGATCAGCACAACACAGGTAAATTTTGAATTTGAATTTTCTTTCTAATGATGATTATTATTATGTTGATTATGTTGACCAGTTTTCATTAATTCCAGCAAACAACCAACAGCACCAAAATAACCTTCATGTTCCAAAAATAATGCTTTCATTTGTCCTTCAGACCAATAATCCATTGCATATGCTAATAATTTTAATGATATTTCATTAACTCTTAAAAAATTTCCAACAAATAATACACGATCAATATGTTCACTAATTGCACACATTTTTGCAATTGAACCAATATTATTTGTTATCGTAACTAGTGTTGCACGTGCCAGATCAGCTTTTGTTACTTGTTCACGTTTCGTTTTCGAACACATTTGACCAAAACTTGATGCAACAGTATCACCACTTAAACGAAATTTTGAATAATCACCACCATAAATATCTCGAACAGATTTATCAACTTTTGTTGAATCACCTTTTGCAGCCAATTTTATAGCATCTTCAAATGTATCACAACCAGTTAATAATGAACATAAACCAAGAAATGTTCCACCACCTAAACTTGATCCACTAACACGACGATATGAATCAGGTGAATAAACAGCCAATATACTAACACCAGAACCAATATTAACAACAAGAAATGGATATGGTCGGGAAAAATCATATGGTCGTTTGGTTGCCATCGATGGTGATCGAGCCATTTCAAAATAATAACATTCATGTGGATTTGATGCTTCAATATAATGTAGACCATGTATTAATGAATCTAATTCATCAAATTTATGTAATTGCAGTCGACATTCATGTTGAAAATCTTTTTCAAATTTAAATGCACCACCACCAGTTGCACAAATTGTACTTGATGTTGATGCCAGACCTTTTGATGCGGCCATATTTAAAAATACAGGCATTTCACTTGTTGGAAATCGTATAAAATGCAATGTACCAATACGATTATTAATACAACAATTATCCATTTGCAGATGAATATCACGAATACCAGTTTTACCATATGATGAACTACTACGTAAATATCGTCGTATTTGTCCAAGAATTTCTGTTTCACATGTTTGCATATCTGGTGACAGATCGGTTGGTTCAAAATAGACTAATTTTACTAATGTTCCACCAATATCCATACCGAACCATGGCATTGCTATGATCAACAAAAAAATGAAATCAATCATTCAAAATCATTTTACCATTATCAACAACTTACGTGGTTCAGATCGACAATTATATGATTGATCATTGTGAATATGATAATGATGATGATCATGGTCATTGTCATTATCATTATTTATCAAAGAATCATTCTGAATATTTATCGATGGCGTTGATGATGATGATTGTGATTGTGTTGGTGATGAATAATTTAATAATGTATCAACATTATTACTACAATTATTATTACTACTATTTTGATGATTATTATTATCGAAATTATTATTATTCATTATTAGATTATCATGACCATTTGAATTGGTTTCTTCTTCTTCTTCTTCTTCTATTTCCACTTGATAATAATGATGATGAGGATCAACAATTAATGATTTCAATGCAGTTGATGATTGTTGACCATTCAATTTGATTGAATAATTTTCTTCTTCTTCTTCGTGTTGTTGTTGTTGTTGTTGATCGAAAAATTTTCTTTTCAAATCATTATTATCAATTTGATTTAATGATGATGATGATAATGATGATGTCCTATATGTTTGACATTCATTCAATACTGATGATGATGTTCTATCTGATAATGATTGTTGAACAACAACAACGGTCGTCGCTGTCGCCAACGATTTTGATTTCGATGTCGATGTCGATTTAGATGCCGCCGCTGCTGCTGCGGCTGCTGTTGCACGACTTTTAAGTAATGCAATCTCTTTACGACAAAGATAACTTTCACGACGATATGGATTGATTAATTCTTTTGATGATTTTGATTCAATTTGATTATGATTATTTTGATTATTATGATTATTAAGTTGTTGTTGTTGTTGAGATGAAATTAAATTGTTATTAACAATTTTATCTTTACAATGATTACAAAATGATGATGATGGTGATGATGATGATGATGATGCCAGTGTGTTTGAACTAAAATTTTTTTTTTTTTTCAAAATATGAATTATCGTTTGATGGTGAGAGAGCGAGAGGTGAGTACCGAGAGAGAGCGAGAAAAGAAAGATAAAAAGAGCAGATAATTTTAAATTAGATTTTGGATGATGAGAAAACACTTGAATAACATCTTAGACAAGACAAAATCTTAAAATTGATGATATCTAAATTGATACTTTTAAATTGATTTTTTTTAGATTTTTAATTTTGGAAATTTTTGTTTATTTTTTTAATATCACAAAAGGCATGACCCGAATACTTTTGATGAAAAATTTTTTTTTTGTTTACATAAAATCACGGTATTTATGAACGGGAAATTCGAATGAATTTTTTTTCGAAGATACAATTCATTCGAATTGATGGGACAAAAAATAACTGTTCGAATTGGAAACTTACCTGGTTGTATTGATCACTGTGCTGGTCATTTTTTTTCGATGATTTTTTTTCTTTTTGATGAAAGAATGGTTTGTTTTTTGTTTGGTTGGTTGATTTATTGATGAAGAACAAGAACGTTCGTTTTAATTTAATTTAGTATTGTTTCGAATGGCATTTTTATAGCCAAAATTCTTCCAACAACAAAAAAAAACAACAACAACAAAAACCAAAATCGATTGATCGATTGATTGAATGAAAGTGATTTTTTTTCCTTATACGTTTCGGTTGAAAAATAAACAAAAGTAAAGTAAAGAAGAAAATCGAATCAAGAAGAAAAAAAAAACAAATCAAAATGATTCGACCGGCCGAATCCGTTGTAGCCGTCGACAACAACAAGTCTTGGTCGTTTTGATGTAAAATGATGATAATAATTGATGATGAGAAAAAGGTATGTTTAGAAGAAAAAAAAATCTTTTATAAAATCAAAACCACCTGACCAAAAAAAAAGAAAATATCTATCTTTATCTTCGAAAAAAATGAACTAACTTAATTGATGATGATGAGCAGCAATATTTTTATATATGTTTAATTTTATGTTTTTTTTTCTTTGCAGATTTCTTTCATTTCTTTCTTCGTCATCGAACAAACTTTCGAATGATGATGACGCGATGATATTATATGGTTTTGCTGGTGTGATGATGATGATAGTTTTGGACTTATCGTTGTCGAACGACAAATTTACATATACAGCTATTATTAGTGATGATGGAAGGAACTGAATGAAGAAGACTGGTGCGATTGTAAAAAAAATGAATGGAAAGAAAGAAAAAAAGAAAAATGGCCATAAAACCAATCAATAAACCAAAGAAATTATCATTTTTATATACCAACCAATTCAATTCAATCAATCAACCAAAAAGGAAAGATCGTCATATCCTGTCCTATCATTTTCAATGTTTGTTTATCTGAATAACGTAATATGGATGGCTTATTACCCAAATGATCATGACATGATTACGTCGAAATATTTTGATTGTGATTGCGAGAGAAAAAAAACAATCAAAATCCAATGAATGAATCAAAGATGTAATCATCATCATCATCATCACTGATTAGTTTGTTGTTTATTTCATTGGGAAAAAACAACAAGATTTTTTTTTAATTGTTTGTTTTTTTTGACAATATTTAGTGCATGTACTTAATGTTTTTCTATACTTTTACTTTTTTTTCATAGAAAAATTTAATTTGAGGAAAATCCTCGAATTCATAATTGAAATTTGGAAATTTTGGAAAAGAAAACATTCAACAAAAGATAATCATCGAAAGGAAAGGATTTTTTTTGTTCGATGAACGATGGGGGTAATATCGATATCGATATCGATATTATCGCGCAATATGATATCTATCCATGATGGAAGAAGAAGAAGAAGAAACGTAATATAAAGTTGTCTAATTATCATGATGATGATGATGCAGAAAATGAAAGAAAGAAAATGGCTGCAAATAGATGCTTCTTTGAAAAAATAGGTTTTTAGGTTGTTTTTTGTTTTTCCTTGTTGTTTTTTCATCACAATCGATAATTATGATGGTGGTGATGATTAAAAATCACGATTTTCATTTTCTTTTCCAATTGAAAACGAAAGGGAAAAATATTCAATATATTCAACACCTACGCTGAACAGGATTTTTTTTTCTGGTTTGGTCGGCCAATTTTCAACCTTGTTATTACGGAAATCAAAAAAAAAATAACCATCACGATCCAAATGGAAAAAAAAGTTTTTCGGAAAAATCTTTCCAAAAAAATAATAATCATTCTGCACCTGTTCTGGATCTTTTGTTTTAATTACATTTTTTTACGGAAATATTTCCCTCAAACAAACAAAAAAAACTATTTCCACTCAAACAGGCATCGCATGTGTCTTATTTGTATCGAATTTCCTTCGAAAACAAAATGAGTTAAATCATCATTCATCATTCATCAGGTCAATGGACATTTATGGTGAACATCACCTGTCTTCAAAAACACGAATAATAAAAATATTTTTCTCTGTGTGTACGTGATATTTATCAATAAACAACCAACCGAAACAAAACACTGGTAGCATCATTTCAACAAGAAAAAAAAGAGATAAAAATTCTTTATTTCGAAGAAAAAAAAAGAATTTTTATTTGAAATTTGAAAAATAAAAAGAGTTTATTTAATGTGAAATTTTTTTCGACAAATTTTTATTCAAATCTAGTTTTTTTTCTCATGAATTTTTATTCGAGAAAAAGAAAATCCATTCTGACTGACCATCATCGTTGAAAAGGTCAACATCACCCAACATTCGAATTTTGTTTTTTTCGCTTGCTTGTTTCCTCTCACCTCACCCTCTTCGTTTAGAAATCGAAATGAAACGAAAAGAATGTTGTTCAAAGTTCAGCCGTGCCGCACCACCACCAACAACAACACCCATATAATCATCGAATCAAAAAAAAAAAAATTTCAAAAGTGACCGACCATAAATGATTCACGGTTCTTATCACGATCACGATGATGATGATTATGGGTCTTGGAGACTTGATGACCATGGTGGTGGTGGTGATTGGTGATGATCTTCTATTTGGTGTCCCCTGAAAAAAAAGATGATGATGGATGAATGAGGTGGACCACGAACCTCCACCCACCACCCAATCCTCCTCTTTCATTTGACCACTACCACTACCACGGTGGTGATAACATTCCGAATTTTTGAAATGGAAATTTTTCAAAAAAAAAAAAAAAAAATTTCTTGAAAAAAATCTTTCGACCAAACAAGGCGAATTTTGAACAAAGAAACACCACCGGTTGAGCTTGTTGCTTGTTCACTCATTCATTTGGCTTGGCTTCTCTGAAAAGAAGAAAACAAAAAATGGTCTCGACCTTCTTCTTCACAAACATTCATTCCGAAGTGTTTACCCACCAAAAGTTCTTTTGATGGACAAGATTTTTGATGTGGATAAGCTTTGGCCAAAGAAAGATTCAGTATACGGTAGTAGTGGTTGTTTATGATAGAATCGATCGACAACAACAACGACGACGACCATAATGGTGCTCTATTAATAAAGGATCATTTTTTTTTTGTTGTTGAATTAACAACAACAACAACATTCCAAACTATAACAACAAAAAACCAAGTGGAGAGAGAGAGAGAGAGAGATATTCAAGTTTTTTTTCTGCAAAGCTTTTTTTTTGTGTTTTTAATGTAATTTTGTTTGATGAAAGAATGTTCCTTATCACCATCATCATATTATGATGGTTATGGATGATGAAGAATCGAATCGAAATGTTGTTGATTATATAACATCTTATGTAAACAACCAAACCGACCGAAAATTTTTTTAATCATTTTTTTTCTTCTTCTTCTTTCTGCTGTTTTTAATGTTTTTAGTGATATTGGCCATCATAAGCATAAGCAACAGCAGCCTATACAATACAAGCAACAGATTTTTAATGTTTACCAAAATTGCTTGATTTTCCAGATTTTTTTTCCATGTTGTAAATATGGTTGGTTGAATGAATGGCTTGTGTGTTTCTCTCTGTGTGTGTGTATGTTTTGGTTACAAAGAGCACACGATTCTCTTTCTCTCTATTTTTGATGTTTTTGTGATGTGAAGATGATGATCAAAGATTCAAAGATTTGATCTAATAATATACTTTCATTTTTTTCAAAGTTCATCATCATCGACAACCATAACAACAGTGTCCAATTCAATCGATGATTTTTTTTGACCGGCTTGATAAAACGATTGACTTTTGTTAAGTTTTTTTGAATAAAATTTTCATAAGAATTTTGTTCTGTTGCGGGTGGTTGGATTGATGTGTTTGATTCAACGATAACAACAACAACAAAAATTTTATGAATGAAATGTGAAACGTTATTTCCTTACATTTGATTTTTGATTGTTTCCATGGTTTTCACAATATTACTACGACTACGAAAATCCGATGTGAATTGTCATCGAAAAAATTTTTTCATTTCATTCATTACATTTATCGATGTTTGTTTTGTTTTGTTTTGATTGATTTATTGATTCATCGATTTTGTTCGTACAATATTATGCAATTTATCAATCATTGAATGTCAACCACAACCACATATAGCCACAATCATCATGTCTTATCATCATCATCATCATTATTCGTTGAGGATGATGATGATGGATAATATCATCATTTTGATGTTTACTTGTATAATATTCATATCAACATTGGCAACAACGATAAATATTGATGATAATGGTGGTAGTGATAATGGTAAACATAATCATCATGATGATCAACGATTACAATTTATTATCGAACCGGAAACAATATGGGCTATAGCTGATGGCAGAAAAATTTCATTTCGTTGTCAAGTTTTACCTGCTGATGCACGTATACGATGGTTATTAAATGGTACAATTATTACCGACAATGATAATAATAATAATGATAATAATGGTGGTAGCTATGGTGATTGGATAAAAATTAGTGAAAATAAATTATCAATAAAATTACAGAAAACACTTACAAATAGTGATTCATTAGATATGATCGAATCACAACCACAACGATTACAAAATTCATTAAATCTTCAAGGTGCCGTATTTCAATGTTTGGCCGAATGGAATAATCAGGTTATTGTTAGTCAACCAGCAAAATTAATTATCGCTGAATTAATGCCATTCGATGATCAACAACAATCAAAACAATCTTCGATAACAAATATAACAGCAATTCAAGGTAATAATATTATTATACCTTGTAATCTACCACATTCAATACCGATTGCAATTGCTGAATTTGAATTTAATCAAAATCAAACAATAACATCGAATAATTTAAATCAAGGTAAGTTTCATTCGATCGTTTGTTTTCCAAAAATTCGAACGTTTTTCAAAATTTAAACTATTTTCATTTTCTATTCATTTTGTGTCGAAATAGATCGTTATCGAATATTACCATCCGGACAATTATTAATACAAAATGTTCGACAATTTGATTCGGGCAAATATCGTTGTATTGCACATAATCCATTTTTACAAGAAAAAATGTATTCATCCAATTTTATACAATTAAAAGTTTTAAAACCAAAACATTCAACAAATGATCAAAAACAATTAAGATTTTTGTTGAAACCAAAAATCCAAATGACCGTTATAATTGGTTCAAATATAACATTTGAATGTGTTGTACATGGTTTTCCTGTACCGAAAATTACATGGACAAAAATTGGTGGTGGTGGTAATGATGATCATCTACCAAGATTACGTTCATTTCAATCAAATGGTATTTTAATAATAACAACTGTACAAAAAAATGATGAAGGTATTTATTCATGTACGGCTTCAAATTCAAAATCAACAATCGAAACAAATACTGAATTAAAAGTATATGAAATGCCTGAAATCATACAAGATGATTATGAACAATTTGAATTAGAACCGGGACAAAACATGGATCTTTATTGTGAATCACGTGGTCAACCAAAACCATTAATTAGTTGGTTACATAATGGTTATTTTATTGATTCACAAATAACAAATGATGTATTTTTTGATCAAAATGGTTCAATATTGAAAATTATTGATGCTAATCCAAAATTACATCAAGGAATTTATCAATGTTTTGCTACAAATGAATTAGGTACAACATATGCTATTAAAGTTATTCAATTTAAATCTTTGACCAATTATCATCATCATCATAATCATCATCATGATGATCAACAAGTTTCAAATTCGAATCATCATCATCATCGATTTACCGATTCGAGCCATTTAAGTGAAAATAGTCATCAACATTCGAATATTGATTCGAATAATAATAATAATAATGGTTATTCGAATGAACATACTGATTTTATTGATAATCAATATCGATCAAATGATAATGATGATGATAATGATAATGGTGAAATTGATCATCATCATAGCCCACATCATCATAACCATAATCATCATCATAATCATCATAATAATGATAAAAATCAACATCAACATCATCCACATGGAAAGAAAAAACCAGGAAAATCTGGTAAAGATTTAAAATTAATACCACCATCTCGGCCAGAAATATCTAAATTAAATGATGATTCAGTTATGGTACGTTGGATGGTACCAAAAACCACTGGATTACCAATACAATTTTTTAAAGTTCAATATAAAGAATTGGGTCGTGGTGATTGGAATACAGTCGATGTTGATATACCGGCACATATATTTGCCTATCCAGTTTGTTGCCTGAATCCAAATTCAACATATCGTTTTCGTATTGCAGCTGTTTATTCAAATGATGATAATAAAAATGGTAAAAGTTCAAATAAATTTATTTTCCGTAAAGATCCTCAGCTGAAACGACCAACAAATCCACCAACAATATTGAATGCAACATCAATATCATCCGAAGAAATTATTGTCGAATGGGAACATTTGAATATTGATCAACAACCAGTCGATGGATTTTTTATTAATTATCGAGCTACGGATTCAGCTGGTCAATATCTAATGGTTACATCGATTGGTCGAGATAGTCGTCGACAAAATATTCAACATCTTAAACCAAATACAGCATATGAAATTAAAATGCAATGTTTTAATGATGCTGGTACATCGGATTTTTCCAATATTTATACCGTAAAAACACAACAGCAACAATCATCATCTAAAGAATTGGATCCGAAATTTGATGATAAATCAATATTACCACCTAAAATCAATAATGAAATCAATGACAAAAATGATAATGATGATTATATTTTTGGTTTAATTATACGACCAAAATGGCTAATACCACCGAATCGAGATTGGTTAGCCATTGCTATAATTATCATTACAATGGTATTATTTATTCTAGCATGTAGTATCATATGTTGTTTACGACAAAAATCATCATCATCATCTATGAATGGTAATAATTCTACAGGAACCGATGGAACAAAATTAAAATTAGAATCATCATCATCATCATCGACAACATCGAATAATAATAATAATAATCATCATTATTTTAATGCTATTAATGGTTTGATTCAAGAACAAAATCGACGTCTTTCAACAAAAACATCTGCAACATCCAATGGTTTAACAAATGGCAATAACCATCATGCAGCATCTGGTTTAATGATGTTAAAATCTATTGAATCACAATTGAATCATCATCATGTAAACAATAAAAATCATCATTCATCTACGAATGAAGCAACAACAACAACAGATTCAGCTATGATGAATAATAATAATAATAATGATTTGTCTTGTTCATCATCATCAACAACAACAACAACACAGCCACCGCCACAGATGCCTATAACATTATCAATGAATCGACGAAATTCATTTCATCGTAATTCATTAGGATTATTAAATTATTCATCATCACAACATCATCTATATAGTTCAAATAATGATCAACAACAACAACAACAACATAATATGGATAACCAGAATCATGTTGAACAACAACAACAACAACAACAAATAGCTACAATTGATCGTAAAAGATCATTAAAAAATTCAATATCCGGATCATATTTAGATCCATTATCAAATAATACACCATCACCATCGATATCATCATCGAATAATAATGGTGGTTTGATTAATCGAATGAATCAAAATCATCATCATAGTAGTTTTACACGTTTAAATGGTACATTAGAAAGAAAACGAAGAAGTCGTCATGATTTATCACAAACAACAATATTGAATAATGGTAATGGTGGTAGCGGACATTTTTATAATAGCCGTTCGAATATTAATCATAATGGTTCAACAATGGATATGTTTCATTCTTCGAATAATCATCGACAACAACAATATTCAACAGGAAATAATCAAACCAACAATAACTATTTTCATTCACATCATTCAAATAGTGGAAATAGTGCTGGTGGCAGTAATAATTTCGTGATAATGCAAAGTTCTTGTTAAAACAAAAAACCAAAAAAAAAGTGTTCGATTTTTTTTCTCTACAAATTCTGCCATTTCTGCCTTTGTATCTCAACTTTTTCTTTCTTTCATTCTTTTTGCTGAATAGATGCCATTCATTCATTCATTTTTTACACTTCTTTCATTTTTTAAAAAGTTATTTATATAATTCAATTTCAATTTGTATTATAAATTTATTTTATTTTTCAGATTTTGTTTTGTAAATAATAAACAATAATAAACAACAACAAAGTAAAAAAAGCGAAAGAAAAATATTATTCTCTAACGTTGATGCCAATGTTCTGCTTCACGTCGTGCATTCAGAATGGTATCCGGAACACTAAAACCATAATATGATGAACCCAATAATGATAATGGTAATTTTTTAATTTGTTTTTCAATTTTTTTCAATTTTTGTCTATGTCCAATTGTATATTGTGGAATACAATCCTTATGAATGGCAACTTTTATTTCGATTGGTTGAATATTGATTTTCAACAATGTTTTCAATGTTTGTAATGAAATATCGATTAATTGATTTTGATCCACTTGATCAGGTTGACCGAATAATTTCTCGAACATATATCCACCTAACATTACGGTCATTTTGGTTTTGGATTCTGGAAATATACACGAATCAAATGTACAACCAAGAATCGATGAATTTTGATTGGCCGGAATTAAAAAACCAAATCCCATATCGGATGGAATAATTTCTCGATCAAATTTCAAACAAACCAATGCCATATGTACAGTTTTGATTGATAATAGTGTTGATTTAAGTTCTTGATCATCATTCGTAGATAAATTTGATCGAATTAACGATGCTAAATGTATGGCAGGTATTGATGAAAAACAATGATCAACTTCAAATTTATCTTCCATGATGGTATTATCCTGCTTGTGAACAGCATTGATTAAACATTTATCGGATGATCGGAATTCAATTTGATTAACTTTTGTTTCCAATTTTAATTCAATTTGTTTTGGAAAATTCTCCGTTAACCGAGAAATTAATTGTTTTGGTAATGTTTCAATACCATTTTTGAATGAAAAAACAGCCCATTTTTCATTGATTGATTGTTGTACAAGTGGATTTTGATGTAAATCTTTGAAAATATCTTCTTTTTTAAACATTGATTTCACAACTGATCCATATTTTTGTTCTTTTTGAAATAATGATGAAAATATTGATGGCATTGATAACAAATGGCTATCGCCACCAGTTATACCAATACATAATGGATTTATAAGATATTCAGCAATATCCGAACCAAATCTTTGACGAAAAAATTCATCAACCGAAATATCATCATCGTTAATTTTTTTAACAGGTGGTTGTCGTAAATCATTCCATAAATAATAGATAAAAGGTTTAAATGGTGGTCGACTAACAAATAAATCACTAAAACGATTTGGTAGTTGACGAAGCTGGCCATCAATAACAACATAACGTCTTTGAAAACTTTTTGAATATTTTGGTACGGATTTTATTTGATCAGCTAAACCAATTGAATTTACCTAATCAGTTGAATTTGATTAATAAACCTCGAATGAACAAAATTTTACTTACCAATGAAAGACAATTGATTCCGGCATATGAATTTAGACTGATCGTTCTTGGACCAAGTTCAAAATAATCTTGACCATTATCAATAGATTTTGAATGTAACCAACCACCAACACGTGATCGTTGTTCGATAAGATAAATTTTTCCAATTTTTTGACCATTTTGAATTGATTTTTGTAGCAGGTAATAGGCAGCTGATAATCCACTAATACCGCTACCTATGATTGCAATTGATTTGGTCATCGTTTCTTCAATATTTTGATCCGATTATCATAACCATCGTAAAATCAAATCGAATCAACAATGGTTACAGATTTTATGAATGAATGTCTGTGTGTCATGTGACTAATTCGAATTTTCGAATTTTATTGCGAAAATTCGAAATTTTTTTCTTTGAAAAGTGAAAAACTTTCGAAATCAAAAGATTAATCAGCAATGAAAACACCCTCGATCAGTTCACCATCAAGGGAATTTTTTTAAAATTGTGTTTCGCAAATGCATAACAACCGTGAAATATTTTTCACTATTATTGTATAATTCAATGACAGAATTTACAAGATTAACAAATAAATCAAAATATCAGAACTTGAAAACGTTGATCCTTCGAAAATTCAAATTCTTCACTATTCACAAGAAATATAAAACTTTTCGAACCTTTAAACTTATGGTCGACGACTCGCTTCAAGCGTTGTCATCCACGATCGGAATATGGGAAATTGGATCTCGCCGTCCGTTTCCATGTGCAAAGGACAAGCTTCGAGATATCATCTACTTTTATCACTTCCAATCTGATTTTAGTGAAGATTTCTATTTCAAAGAACCTTACCAAATGGAGAACAAAATAACAATTATTTCTGGAAATTTGGTTTCGACTCAAAGCCGGCGAATTGAATTATGCGGATTCGATAATTCAATGTTTCGAATTGTGGAACAAGTTTCTTGTTGATGTTGTTTTAACGTATCCGCTTATGTTTCCGACACTCTGTTCCTATGAATAGTGTAATAATTGGAAAAGATGTTCAAAAAAGGTTCTTTTTCTCATTTAAATTTGTATTTTAAAAAAATTTAAAGCACAAATGCCTTCGGGAAGGGTGCTGTTTCTTGTTGTTTAATAAATAATAAAAATTGAAAATTTTGAAAATGAATAGTTGAAAAGCACCGCGGTTTACAATCCATAAATAACATGCGAATATTGGCGTGCACACAGCAAAAAAAAAATTGGCGTTTGCCAACAATTTTTTCTCTCTCTCATCTGATCCTGATCCCGATTCGAGAAAATTTTAAAAAAATGGATCCAGAATCAGAAGAATCAACCGAAGTAAAAACACCGATTAGTTCACCATCAAGTACTACAGGTAATTTTTGCTGATTAAAAACTTTTTTTTCTAATGTTTTTCTTTTCATTTTTCACTCGTCAATCAGAAGAAGCATCAATGTGTCCAGATTACATATCATCATATACACAAATATCACAATATAATCATCACCGTCAACAACAAGATGATCAAACTATTGATGATCAAACTGATATTGAATCTGAGACGGATGATAATTTGGATGATTTTGTCAATGACGACGATGATGATGATGATGATCAAAAATCACCTTCCAANTACCATGTAGAAACGAATGATGATTTTATTGGAAAACTGTGACCTTTTTATACACATGACCAGGTCTATTTACACATGAGTTACTATTGTGACTCGAGTAGCACCGAGCAATCCACATATTTACAACACACCCTTCTGGATTGCGTAGGTGCTTACAGAATTAGAATTAAAATACAAATTAGATATTAAAATACAAAAGAACAAATAAACAAGAATATAAAAATAGATGGTAGATTGATGATACGATGTTTCAAAGACCAAACACTTTCGCCATGAACGGTTCAGATTTCTGCCTCGACAGGGGTTTGGTCATCGAATCTGCCAATTGCTGCCCAGTTGAAACTTTGACCACTTTGATAGGATTTTCACGCTCCATCTTAGATAGCAGCAGTTTGATGTCGTAGTTGAAATAGCGAGATTTCTTAAACGAATTCGTCTCCAAGATAGCTGCAGCTGCTGCACTGTCGATATGAAGCCTAATATTCGTGTTGAAATTCAATTCGGTCAATAATTGTCGAATAGGCTCAGCTTGTTTCCATCCATCCAAAGCGGCTACTAATTCAGCTTCACACGTTGAGTGAGTTAGTCTCGTTTGCTTTTTGGAGGACCAACTCACAGGCGTCTGATCCAGAAATATGATGGACCCACTCGTTGCCTTCAAATCAGCGTCGGACCTAAAGCTGGCGTCGGTGAACAGATTCAGCGTTTTATCATTAATCGGTAGAAGACGAAGCTTTCGATATTTGGTGCCTTTTAGATAACGTAGCACTCTTTTGCATGCTTTCCACAATTGTTCGGACGGTAGATCAGCAAATGAGCCAAGATGCGATATGCAAACAGAGATGTCCGGTCTACTTCTAGTGGCCACATAATTCAGACATCCAAGAAGCTCCTTTACGGGACGATTATTCGGTTCACATTTTGACAGATCATCAAAATTATCCATCGGCTTTGTCGTGGGATTACAATCACTGAGCCCAAAACGTTCCAAGACATCGTCGATATAATCAGCTTGACCAATTAGTATCTCATTGTCAGCTATTTCAATTTTTAGACCAAGATACGTTGAACAGTCGCCATAATCGTGAATTTCAAATTTTTTATCAATAATGTTGATGAAATGATCGGCTACAGCAGTTGATTCAGCAGCGATGATAATGTCATCTACATAGACAGCGATCATTAACTTTTCATTGTAGAATATACATTGGTCAACAAGAGAGCACTTCATCTGAAGATCGTTCACCAAATAATCATGCAAGGTTTGATACCAAGCTCGAGGTGCTTCTTTAAGCCCATACAATGCCTTATTCAATTTCCAGAATTTTGCTTCGATACCATCAGGCGGCTTAACATAGATTTCTGAGGTCAGCTCTGAATTGAGGAAGGCTGCACTCACATCAAATTGTTTTATCGTCATTTTTCGGGATAACGCCAGTGTCAGAAATGTTTTTAGCGATGACATATTCAGCGTTGGGGCATAATTATTGCTGGAACCAAATTGTTCAAAGCCGCGGACCACTAATCTAGCTTTGAACCGGCCATCGTTTTTCTTTCTGAAGACCCATTTCGTTGAAAGCGGTTTTTTGTTGTTGACCTGATCCACTTCACTATACACACCCTTCTGGATCAGGTCAGTGATTTCTTTATCGATAGCACGTTTCCATTGTGCACTGTTGGCAGAACTCATTGCTTCAGCATACGTTTTCGGATCATCTTCAACCACATTTTCAGCTTGATTTGAAGAACTATTCGATACAGTCGGCATTGCAGGTGAATTCGGTTGACTGCTGTTATCTGACTGAGATTTTTGCTGCTTGATGGTCGTATAGCCACGAATTGTTTCATCAAACGTGACATTGCAGGATTTGAAAATATTTTTATTTCTCGGATCCAATAGGAGATAATTCTTCGGACTCTCAGTATATCCCACAAAAACAACAGGCAGGGACACTGGGTCTAGCTTCGTTTTTCTCATAATATCAGGCATTTTCCAGTAAGCTAGGCAGCCAAATACTTTTAGATGATCACGTTTAACAGGAAGATTGAGGAACTTTTCAATCGGCACGATACCACTTTTGGCTACCCAGCGGTTGATCAGGTAATTTGCAGCTGAAACGGCCAAATCCCAATAATCAAGCGACAGCTTTGAATCAAACAGCAGAGCCCGTGCACATTCCATGATTGTTCTATTTCGTCTTTCGATTTTTCCATTCTGCTGAGGAACATAGGGCGTTGAAGTCAGAAAATGAATGCCACGTTTTTTAAATGTTGACTGCAGCTGGTAATTGTCGAATTCCCTTCCATTATCGGAAAAGAATTGCTTCAGCAGGACACCAGTTTGTCTTTCGCAGAAATCGATGAATTCAATAACATATTTAACAGCTTCACCTTTAGTCTTCATGAAATAGACACCACCAAATGAAGAATGATGCTCAATAAGGTGTAGAATATATCGATAGCCAGCATGATTTTCGATTTCGCCAAGGTGATCCTTAATGTCCATGAGATCAGCACTAATTCTCTGCATTAGATCGTACGATTCGTTCAATAACGGGTGACTTGCATTGACATCCTTAGCTAGATGGCAATGTTCACAATTCAGCTTTATGTTTGACGGACAATCGATCATTTGGGACAATTTTTGAATACCAGGATGACCCAGCTTTCGATGCCAAGCCATAATTCTTTCAGACACGGTCGCATAACAATGTCCACTTTTCGATGATTCAATAATGTATGAATTTCCAGTTCTTAAAGCTTTCATTTTTACCCATGAGGGATCAATATCAATTTTTAGCTTGTTTTTGTCCACAAATAGACACTCTTTCTCTGTGAAAATCAATACGTTGTTGTTATCACAAGCATTAGCCACCGAAATCAAGTTGTTAAAATTAGGAATATAGCCCACGTCACGTAGCTCAATTTTATGACCAGTTGTTGAATGCACTGTTGTATCGCCAATAAGTTTTACAGCACATTTTTGCCCATTAGCAGTACGAACCCAGTTGTTGCTTTCACGAGGATTAGTAAGACAATTTTTGTTTCCAACATAATGTTCAGAAGAGCCACTATCAACGTAAAAGTAATCAGCATTTTTATTATCAGCAAAATTGACATTTACAGATTGTTCATTTTTGTTATCAACAACATTATTATCAACAATATTATTATCATTAAGATTCTCGGTGAAGAAAGTGTTGTTGTTACCAATTCTGCCATTTTTAACCACAGATTGTTGATTCGATTTGCGCACTGTATTTCTGCCATTTGGACATATGTTGGCTGTATGTCCAATTCCACCACACGAGAAACACTTTCGATCATCTTTCTTAGGACACATATTGACCATATGCCCTGAGGCCCCACAACGATAGCATTTTACATTTCTTTTGTTCGATAGAAAGGCACTCTGCTGAACAGTATTTCGTGGTGTTTCGTCATCGATACGTTGTTGTCTTTCACGAGCTAACTCTTGAACAAAATCCAGCGTGTTTTTACCAGTGTTCGAATACCAAACGATATTTTTAATGCATGTAAATTCTTCAGGCAATGCTTTCATGAAGATTTCTACTGCGTAGTTTTCGTCAACAGCAGCACCAGCCTTTTTAGCACCAGCCAATTTTCCGTTGAACTCACAGATAAAGCGATTAAGTCCAATTTTTCCAGATGATCTATACTTCATTTCGTTTAATTCCAACTGCAGTTTGACTTTCTTCTTTTCCGGCTGTAGATCGTAAAATTTTTCGATATTTTT